ACACGTTTTCGACCGCCCCCGCCAACACCGAAAGAGCTTTTTAGCACCTTGGAGGTCAAGTCGGACCGTGGGCAACACCGAGGTTATCTATCGCGGTTCATATGCGTTCCACCGATGCGGAATCGTTTCGGTACGGAAATGCCTGTGGTCGGGTCCACGCGCGCCAAATCCATAGAAGACGTAGAGGATCGCGGTCTTACCGACCGAAAACAGAGCAAGCCTTTGGGCGACGATTCAAAACGCTAGAAGGGGTCTTTGAATCTATATATATCATACTATACATGTACACACACAATGTGGTATGGCCGTCGCCACCGGGCAATATATTTTACCGGAATCCGCTTTACGGTAAAGTACGGGTTTCGCCCATTGTGTGTGTGTGTTGAACGCAAACAATCATAAAGTCATATCTAAAAAAAGACAACGCCATATGGCTTGAAAGTGCAGTGGAAAACCACGTCGTAAAAGGATATCTATTGACGGTCATGAGCGCGTCGACCGTCCGATTGGCGCTGGCGATATCGGCAGAGCCGCAAAAGCGTTTTGGTCTTTTCTCTCTTGCCTCTTTGTCGCCGTCACTTGGGTTTTTCCATTGGACCGTCTCCTCTATTTAATAGAGCCTACATTAAATCACCGATCGAACACAAAGGTCGGCTAATTGGAGATATAAATCCGTGTCCGCGCGTTCCACGGGAAAATGCAATGCGAACACACATGCTATTATAATAATATACAAGTTTGAAATAAAAAAAAATAAATAAAAAAGGCGTCGTCCAGTGATTCTCTACCTCGCACCATTGTCACCTAAACTCCAATGAATACGTAATGGGATCTCATTGTATGAACACACATTCTTCACTTATGGGTCAGTAGTAGTAGCACAGTATAGTAAGGCAGTAGTGTTGTGTGTGTATGTCGCCGCCGCTTGTAATTATCATACGAGCAGAGGATTATTAAGCGCGTCCTAGATCCCATAAGCCCGGCAGACCCATATTTATCGGATTGCATGTGCATACAAATCTACTACGGCATTTCCTAGAAACCTGAAAATATATAACTACCGGTCAATCCATCCATGTCACAATCATTATTTCAAGCGATACTATTACTGAACAAACATATACTGAATAGCGACTGTTGAATGTAGGTACTTAATATGTATAATACTATTATACATTATTTTTTCTACGGTAGTATACTAAATAAAGTTGCATCCTAAGTTGTCAAGAGATAAGAAATAAAGGTCACCGGAGTCAATTCAGATAGTATTTTGGAGACAGATAGTACATATTTTTTACGGCTACCTGGGAGATATGGGAGGCAACTGATCGAGCGATTTTGTCCCGCTAAACAAAGACGGCGGTCGGGTGGAAAATAGGCGTGACAAAAAGGATTTTACTTTTAACTGTCGTTTTGGTTTCATCGTCGAATGATGCAGTAAAAACTTGAACACTCGATCAATATTGTTAGCGCCTCGACAAGAATACCATTGGCGTGTATTTATGATTTATACATTTTTTTTTTTTCGAGAAAAAAAAACCCATGGACTAATCCACGGCGGTAGAGAAAGATAAAGGCATTAACCGACTAGGAATATTGTTTACAAAGTGTAAAAGATAAAAACCCTAAAGGGTAAACCTAAAAAATACAAAATTCTTATTTATCCCAAATTCACTCGGTCAGGTACCGGCCCATTCACCAGTCGTCTAAACAAAAGGGTATTGAGCGCAGGATTTGTTTGTTTAGGCGCTATACATGATATTTATACATTAACGCGAGTACGTTTGTGAGTGTGTATAATAGTAATGATAATAACACGGCCGGGGTGGGCAACACGATTCACGTTAAGTGTTCCCTGGGATCGTATTACATGCGCACACATATTATACACGTCCAAAACAATCGTCTAACGGTTGATGACGTGCACCTACTCTCAATATACACATTAAAATATATATACTTATATTAAAAACCGATTTAATGTATTAAAAATGTGTCGAAACAACAATAATTGTCAGTACTCGAACATGCACTCCTAAAGACAATGCGCCGGGTGTCATTGATAAGTAACGGATCTCTTGGGAAAAACGAGTTGGACTCTTTTGTCCTATTACATACACACACACACACACACACATAGTTCTGCAGATACACATGTGGAACATAGGTAAACTGTATTTTTTTTTTTTTTTTTAAGTGCATGATACACGTTTTTGTTCTAATTCATCGACGTCGGATATGGATTTTATCAATACCCCGGATTTTCCATTGGCGAACTAATATGCAGATGATAGGCTCTAATAAAAGTTGTATTATATCTGCATTTTCCATCCTCTAAGCACCGTGTTGTTTGTTTATCATATTCGACAAGAAAAAAATGTTTCTCCACGATTTGGTATGCTGACCGTCGGCCAATTGGAAAACAAAAACAATTCTTCGACTCGCGGTAATTACTGTCGTTTGTGTATGCATCCAAACATCACGATACACCTATATCTTGAGAAAAAATGCACATTCAAACGGTTTGACCTAAATGCAAACGACCGTCTCTGCCTATATACATACATACTATATATATATATATATATATATATATATATATATATAATGATGTCGATTACACTAATAACTCACGATATAAAGTATTCAGCTAAAGCCATGTCAAGAGTAATACACTATTTTAGGCTGTTCATAATTAATACCGGTACAGTATACAAGGTGATCCACTTATCGTGACCACTCAATATCTCATAGGGTTTAATAAAATATAAAAACAATTTTTTTCATATTGTTTTTATACATTGTGATCTCAATTTTTCACAATTTTATTTTTGTTTTTACCCCCTCCTAGCTTAGTTTTTTTGATAGCAACTTTTGAAACTTAAATGGTAACGTATACATTTTATTAACTTTTAAAATTGAGAATGATGTACTAAAAATGTTAACCAGTTTCGGATAACTATTTTTGACGTTACTGTCCTGTGGGTGCACAGATCGACAGAGTAATAGGTGTCGTCTGTTGTGTGTCGTGTGACTTGGCGAGTAAAAAACAAACGCTCGTAACATTCGGAAACACTTCCCGTACGCGGGCGACTACCTCGAAAGCTAGGTTTTTTAAGGACGTTTAATCATTAACAAACGTTTGTTTGGCGAACAATTAAATTACCAACGAACAAATATACATCGGATGCTGTCCATAAAAGACACACATTGTGGGCGAGGTGCGCCGCCGACGTATCCCGTGGGATTTCCCATACGCCGACCAAAATTGAAGCACTTCCGGGTGACATGAATTTACAAGGGTCGTGTCCAATGTATTTTGTCCCGATGACTCCCGGTCAGAGATCCACTAGGCGAAAAAAAAAATAACGCGAAGTATTTAAAAACACCTGTTTACACGTCAGGCGATGTGCAACAGTCATAACACAACACTAATCATTATTATAATTTATAAGCCGCGCACCGCGTACCGGTGAAAATGATAATATTAGAACTCGGAATCATGGGCGGGCCCGGTACATATATTTATTCAATTGTCACGACCTTCGGAGGTCTCGACCTCATCTGCCGCTCATTGATACAATATTATATAATATAGATACCTAGTGTTATGATTATGCGAGACAGTAATAGTAATTATTGATCCGGAACGCACCCTGTGGTCGTCGTCGGTCGAATATAGGCATATAAAAATTTCACATCGCCGAAAGTGTGTTTTTCGTTGACCTTTACTACGTTTGGACCACGACCGTACGTATACAAGCCGGGCATTCAACCGTGCAACCGTGATTTAGACGCGACTATCGTCAATGAAGTCGTCGATACTTTTAATCACACTATATAGGCTAATGCAACGACTGGAACCGGTCGCAAAGGCGAAGGTGCGTTGAATACACACAGGTAAACAAATTGCACGTTAATTGTGTTACACACATGTGCGTGCAATTATTATCATTATACGGACGGACGACAGGACGAGTGCGGGTCGTTTCCCACACCTTTGTACGACCGGGGTCAGTAGCCCCCGATTGCGGTCTTATTCTGGTGGCATCTCATTTGGTAAAAAACGCACACCTCCCAACATCAAAACTAAAAAACGAATTGCAGCGGCTCGGCCTCGTCTTTCTTATGACGCAACCTAGCTTGGAAAATATTAAAGCTACAATTAAAGCTAATTAATGTATATTATACTACTATCGTCTGCGCCATAAATATGAAAGGTTTAGAAGGAAATGGAGGAATTCCCTTGGTAACAAGAATAATACCATCAGATCGTTCAATTACTAAATCAATCCCCACCCCTTTTGTTGCGTTAAAGTTACCAACCACGGAACATATAAGTAAACAATAGCAGGGTAATATGAAATTTGTTTTACTAAACTGTCAGAGGTGGCGCTAGACTAGGGTATGGAAGAGCAAGTGCCATTGAAATTTTAGAGTCCAGGATTTAAAAAAAAACAGTTAGACGATCCATTTGGAGAAATGTCGATAACATTACCTAGTAGTTTTTACACAACTTTAACCATTATCACAGAGATAATCATATTTGTTTGAACTGTATACGAATCTGAGACTCAAAATTGCGTTCAATCCGATTCTCTGTCTTTTAGGCGATTAATAATTCGCTAAAATTCCATTAGCTGGTCCATACAGTGTCTTTACATAATCGTAATCCTATGCCGTTTATAAGTTTCTGTTTTACACATAGGTACTTAGTGTTAAGATAATAGCATTATGATGATACGATGTACCCACACCGATGCAGGTACGGGTGCCGGTCAGACGAGTTGCACTGTTACATTACGCTACTGCCGCCTCGGTCGTTCCACGCGGAAGCGTTTCTGCAGGTCGTGACGTCAGAAGATAGTACGGTCGGAAGTACACATAGCGGCCACCACCGCCGCTAAGCCGGAACGCTTGGAAGGGGGTCCGGGATGGACCGGGCCGGTCGCCGACCAACGGTGTCTGCGGCAATCAGGTCTTCAATAGTCCGTTGCCTGTTGACTGGCGAAGGCCAAGGTCTTGTTTGATACGTTATTTTTTTTCGTTTAAGTTCAACAGTTTTAACAAATATATTATATATTTTTCGTTTTACCGCCGCACACTACGTAACCGGTCCTGATTACACACTGTCGGTAGAGTGCCGTTCGCGTTTAATTGAAACACATATATATATATATATATATATAATATATATTTTATATCGTTTCGATTTTTTGATTTTTTTTTTTTTTTACTTAACAAAATTCTGTGCGTTTTTGGCGCGCCGACAACTCTAGAACACAGCCGAAAAACCGCCACAACACCACTACCGCTGTCATAGGTTGCCCTCGGATTTCCAACTTCCAAATGGGTAAGCTTAAATGTTAAATTTAAAAATAAAAAATAAATGTTTATCAACTTTTGATGGATCTATAGATGTTACGCCGATAAGCTCTGAGACACAAATTACATTATTATTTACATTAAAATTTAGCTGTATGATATAATTCGTTGTCGGTTCGCTGTTAAAGAACCGCATTTGGGAGATACCTTGACGCGATAACGGAACGCGTAGGAAGAAGAAAAAAATGTACATCTATATAAATAAATAACAATATTGTGTTTATCAAGTGGTATTTAATTGTGATTTCGTTGGGAGTAAAGTATGTTCTTAGGGGATAACAATCAGACGCGTGACCGGCCAGAAGTCCGACACCCTCATGCTTAGGCTAAAAAAAAAACGTGAATCTGCCACTGCCATTATCGTTTTCTGCTGTGGGACGTCTTATTATTTACTTATATTTTTTCCGAACGAATCAGTCGAGACGCATTGGAAAATCCCGTAGGCCGATAGAATATCAAGTATTCAGCCGTGTTCCATACTACTATATTGTTTTGCCTGGCGAAAGCGATAAAACTCTATTGTAATCTCGGATTTATATTAAATCGATTTATCACGGCGTTTACCTATGTATATGTATATGAGAGTGAGAAGAGTGAGCGCAGAGTCAGTTGCTTTGATAATAATAACAATTTGATTATTGGTCTGGTTACATTAATAATATATTATACTAATTCGGTATTAAAGGTGCCGCTGTTTCGATCTCAATACCGTCTACATGTGTAGTCCAGAATCGGCGTTAAACTTGATTAGGCTTAGGGCAAAATTCGATTTGAAACTCCAAACAATATTGAAAAGAAGATAATTACTTAAACATTACGATGTACACGTGAAGCTGGTCAACTGCCCGCCCCTATCCAACTCGTCGGTCCTCGTGTGAACGATAACGAATGTTCTGGCGTTAATTAAAATGAGAAAATGACGACGATAGTCGAACTGATGGAAATATTCTAGTGCAGGACTGGTTCGCTGACTTGAACGCGCTCGCATAAGAATAATTTAAATCGTTTTATTACATTCGTATCGAAGGTCACTCGTTTTGCCCGAGTTTAAAAAATAGATACCAAGTTCCGTTTACCAGTTTTAACAGTACATTAGTAATAAGCAATAAACAACATGTTATATAATATATTATGCAAATTGTGGGAGTCTAGAATATAAATATTCATTGAGCTAACGGTAGTAACAAATGTAACTATAATCAAACACGTTAGTTGCTAGGATATAATATACTTTTCTCCGGACAGATTTGACAAGCAAATTAATATCCAATGGTTATAAGTGTATTATCCGCTATTTTGAGTACTTTATATTAGCTAAATCCCACTACCTAACCTAAGCGGGCTAACTGATTTTATACGATAAGCCCATACATCTAAGGGACATTTTAAAGGAGTAATGGACGTCCATTAGTGAGTTAATAGGTCCCTATAGAAGTTTGTATATTTTAAATATTTAATTGGAAATCTAATTTTTTCAATAAAATAAGAACATGTGGGCAGTTATCAACAAATACATTTTTTTCAGTTCAAAACAACAAAAAAGTTTGTTATCTATTTAAATATAATAATTATTAATTACAAACCTTTTATATTAAAATACTTTTTCTCAAAAACAAATTACATTGAACAATTGTTTCTTTATTATTTTTTGAAATAAAGTTAATTAAATAAGATAGATAACAAATTTGTTTTCATTATTGCGGTCCTGACTCCAGTTGGCACATTGCAGCATACTGTTATTAGATAGGTACTTAATAGTAAAGAGTGTAAAAATAGCAAATACCTAATTGAGGCAATTCTTCTATTGTGGCAGTGACGGTTTTAGGTACAAAGCAAGTCATGCGAGTAGATTTTATAATTAATAGTTTCGTATTATTAATTTGTTAACTTGTCGTCTCCTACAAGATCGATTGGCAGATCATTCAATCGATACATGCTATTTGTTTTTGCGTCTTTTAAAAATAATTAGTAAAAAAAAAAAACAATCGTGTTTTTGCGGAATTTTATGGAGCGTAGATGAAACCAATGTAATGGAGATACATTAAAATTCGTGGGCAAACTGCATCAGTCTTTATTGCATTCGAGTGCGATGATCTTGCGTTTAAAATAAATATTGTATTAGTACACAGAAGTCTGGAGTATCTGATTAGTCGTGAACACTGATCGCATAAATAGCATCTTTTAGAAAAATAATTGTATGTATTCTGTGTGTTTTATGTTTTTAAATAATGGAAAGAGAAAAAAATCCAGATGAGGGGACTACATTTTGGTTGAACGAAAAGTAGTATGAACGATAGTAATGAGTGGCATAACGCTCCATTAGCGAATGTATCACATGACGACTGCACGTCCGACCGGAATAAAATATAATAACGATACAGAAGAAATACTACAAATGACGAAGATAATAATACTAATAATAAGACTGTAACGACGACGATTCGACCGGCAAGGCCAAACACACACATCAAATATATTGGGCTGTATAATGTATGTCAACAATTAGACGTGATCCGATTCTCACGGGCAACCAAAAAATAAAAATTCGCGTAAAACTAATGAAACGGCATTTTTCGCCCCAAAAAATAAAATATAACGCAACCCAAAGCTGTGTACTCGCCAGACAAACTGTAGTAAACGTACTTGTGTCGTGTTGTGCTTATAATAACATGTGTATCCCTATCTCGATGGTCAATCAACGTTTAAAAGCTAAAAATCTAGTGTCTTAACGCAATTAAAAAAAATATATCGCTTCAGCAAAATACATTCGCTAAAAGTTTAAACACACGATTTAAAAAAACAACAGCGTTATCTTTTAAATATATATACTATTATATAATTAATAATACAATAGACTCGTGGGTCAGTATCATTTTCATGAAAAAATATGTCTAAAAAATCCCAAGATTTACATTTGACAGAACTAGAGAAAAATGTACTTACATATAATCTGTAATTGATAAATTAAACAAAATACATTCATAAGACTAGTATTGATAACATTATGTTTAATTTTATGTAATTTTAATTGTGCAGTGGACCAAACGTATATTCTATTAAGTATTATTTATTATTTAAATCAATATATATATATAATATATATGATGATAAATCCATCACAGTTATTGACCAACCATTAGAGGCCAATTCTAGCGTTGGCAATTCATTAATAAGCAGTTATCATTTATTATTAAAAGTTTTGGCTATTTCAGAAAATTATAAATCGAATTAGTAGCAGGTTTAGAAAAATGAATGTCAATAGAAAGAAAATTAACTAAAAATGAAGTATAATATAAAAGTATCCAATCTTTTGGCCTCGATGTAACGCGGGTGTAATTTCGACGCTATGTTTCAACTTTCAAGTGATAAATGATTTTACTTGGCCGGCCGAGGGTCAAGATGAACTCTACAGATAATAATACATACATGAGTACCTACGCTGAATAATACGGATTTCCGCGTACCTATATGTTGTCCCGTTACGCGAGTTGCTTTATAATGGTCTATGTTATCATTCCTAAGACACACGAGAATTCCGAAGGTCGGACAACTATATTATATATTATATTGTCATCGTGGCCGGACCAGATAATCTCTACAATGTGCTAGTAGTGCGGTGGCTACCACGATGGTTCGAGGATTTTACAGTAGCTCGTAAAGATCTAGAGTAAAACCGCGACTCGGTAATTGGTCGGATTCGTTATTAAGCTATCCGGGCAAATTGAGTTGTAAGCTGCTTCCTGAGTAACAGCGAGAAATAGCTGTTGCAGAATGTTGTAGACATTACGCAGCATACATAGTCAATGACGAGCTATACGAGAGTCGATGGAAATTCACATACGAATATGGATGTTATACATAGGAGCGTTCTGAAAATACGGTCCACACACACAGTCGAACAACAATATTGTTTTTTTTTTTTAGTTCCAGATTTTCGAATAACGCAATCCAATATGTGTTATAATAATAATATATAATACTTTATTATAGTCGCCGGTTTAATATTAACTCGAACAGATTACAAACGAGTACTCGTCGCCGAGAAGTTAAATATGACATCACGGTGGACGGTTTTTTCCTTACACTACTTATTACCTGGTAATCGGCTGTGCCCATCGCGGGAGATTTACGAGCCGATCACGCGACAGACATATTGCCGTTGCGCGTACACCGCGAGAATCGATAAGTCGCCGTTTCAATTTTGATTTTATACAAACCCCATCGAGATTGATTTTTTATCGGTGAGGTTTGACATTCGGTGATCCGATGCTAATCCCGGCGACACGCACAGCCCGTGAGAAAGCCAATGTCAATTATCAAACTGGGACTCAGTTAAATATACATCAACCGGCCAGGAGGAAGTCTCACGGTAACATCAACGGTCGTTCACAAACGTGCCGACGATAACGACTACTGGATAACTTATTAATACCGCATCTACGCTATTATAGGTTATGTGGGAGTGTAGGATACGAATATTTTGTCCATCTATGCCGGCGATCGGCTGCCTAAGCGGTAACTCGGCGGCAAATAATCGAATTTGCGTGAATTTGTTTTTTTAGCGAAATAACGTACGTCATTTTAAAACTAATTTTTTTTTTTTTTAAATATATTTTAATAATAAAAAATTCCGGAACCCGAATTACGTGCTGCGCGAGGCGGACAACAATCGAGACGTCGGTCACCGTCGACGGTGTATATAGGTGTATAATAATAGCAATATAATATAATAAAGTATAGAAAAGAGTAACGGGCCGACAATTAAAAACGTTTACGCGCCAACGGTCGTGTACGTGATTTTAATTTGGCCATCTCGAATTGCCGGCCGTCTCCTACACACAATGTTTCAACGCTACCGGGGAGTCCCGTTGCTCTTTGTGAACGCGCATTGGCCAATAATAATCATAATAATAATAATAATGATAAGTAGTATATACAAAAAAAAATAAATAAAAAAAACACATTAAA